GCACGTGGGTTAAGCGACGACGCAAAATTGCGCTCTGCCCCCCTCTCCCCCTCCCCCTTCGTAAAGCGCTATATGAGATATCGCGGATGAGAGATGTATAGGGAGGGGAAAATAAGCGGGCGCGCCGATGAGGAAGGGACGGAAAAGACTCTGGAGACACTGGAAACGCGCAGTTCGAGGGGATGAAGCGGCGCCAGGGGCAACTGACGCGTCTGATGAGCTCTCCGTCTCTCCGCCACCCGCCGCTGTCTCACCGATCTACCTCCTATCACGCTCTCTCCCTCTTTCTCTCTCACCGCGGGCTTCCTGCTCTCGCTTCCTCCTTTCTTACTTAAACCACCCTCCTTTCAACCACCCTCCTGCAGCGATCACTTTGCGCCCTTCGTGCGCCGCTCCCCAGCTTCCGCAGGTCCTCAACTTTTCTCCACACTGTCCGGTTGCTCCTTCTACTTTTCCTTCCCTCTCCCCCTTATTCCCTGTCGCTTTCAAATTTAATTCGTCACGCACGAATTGCGAATTCGTCGAACACTGACGAATTTGCCATGCCTCATATATCCGTACATTCAAATTAACGAAGAATCTTAGGCAGTCTAATTGCGATTGACGCTGGTGACCTACGAAATTGGAAAATTATGCGAATTATTAAATTATGTGTTAATTATAAAATACAATCTTTAAATCTTTTATTAATTCTCCGTATTAAAAAAAAATGACTTAGCTATAGATTGAGTAAGACGTCGCAGCTGAGTTCGAAATCTGGAGAAAGACGTAACGTAATCGTTATCATTTAAGTCCCAACTTGATCGTTATTGCTTAAACGTCCGGGTCTTCGCGCTAATTCGGGCACTTAAGCGCAACTTAATACGGATATTTATTACTGTGCCATTTAAACGCTTAACTGTGAGTCAAGGGAGCGCGCGCGCGCGAATCAACCCCCAACACTCTGCAGTAGGCGTCGGTGCGCGACTGCATCCTCCATTAAACTTACTTTACGGTATTAAGGATGTTCCGTCCGAGGCAGGACGTCTCCGAGCCGAGCCAATTTCCTCTTTCGTCGCCCGAGGCGCGCGGAACCCTGCACCTTGCCCTTCCCGCCCCCTCCCCCTCCCCCGCGTCGTCCGACCGAGCGAGACCGTGCTCCCCGACGACGATGGAAATGGCATCGGGCTGCAGGAAGGGCTGCAGGATCGAATTAATTAAGACCGCCGCGCGCTCCCGCGCCCGTGGCGGGATTCGCGGGGAGATATTCCTAGATGCGTTTTACGATCGTCGCGTCGCGTCGCGTCGTTTAGCGCCGATCGATTAATTGAATGCGCGCGGAGAGATCGCGGATGGAAAGTAGAACGCGAACGGCGATCGATATATACGGTATAAATTTTTTTTCGCCGTAATCGTCGCACCGGGCAAACGTCTACTCCGACTTTTCAAGCGCGACGATTTCGTGCAGTGCTTCGAACACGCGTAATTATTGCGACGTAATATCTTTCGGGACGGATTTGCCGTCGCTGTTATTATATTGATTTACGCGGCAGTTCTCTAAAAACGTGGAGAATATTTCGTCCAACCCCCTCCTCCTTCCTCCGTATTGGCTCTCTAATTAAATTTAACGACGGTGATGTGTAATTTCGGCGCTCGTGATAATCCTCGAAATATCCTCCATCGCGATAAATTTCGACCGGCTGATAACGGCGTGCTGATCATATTTTTCTTTCCAGTTATACGAGAGCCGTATACGGCTCGTCCGATTTTTCGCGGACGGTGTGTACGCAAGTTTCGCGAGAGCGCGACGCGCGAAATATAATCCGGGCAATTAATTTGCAATTCGTGTTGCGCGAGCGAAAGGAAAGGGTTGGGAGGGAGGTGGAGGAACCGCGATCTCTCGACCGCACCTCGCGAAGTCCGACCTTTTTAACCCTTCCCTCGACTTTCTCCCCCGATGCAACCTTCTCCCCTTCCCCACCACCCTCCTCCAACCCCCCTGCCGCCTCTCGCGCCGCTTGTGCGAGCTGCTTTACAGCCCTGTTTAACCACCTGTTACGCCGAGAGACTCGCGCTGAACTTCCGCGCTTTTCTTTTTCGCGAAACACGCGAGCACCACCCACCCCACCGTTTACCCCTTCGCCCCCAGCACCCACTCCCCCGTCGTCGTCGTCGTCGCCGTCGTTGAAATCCGTCAGCGGATTCTCTGTCTTCTCTCCTCGCGATCGTCCGAAACGCGACGATTTCTCTCGACGCGCGGTCGATGCCGCGAAATGTCGCGATTAAACGCCCCGGATTCCGCTCCCGTCCGTTCGTCCCGTCGTCTCTCTCGCCGCGCTATCGATTGTCACGCGACTCTATTTTTCGAAAGTTCAAAGTTCGCGGCCGACAGGCAGACTACTCCGGCAGTCGCCAATTACTGTCGATCCACCGCGCCGCCGTCGTCGTCGTCGCTGCCGCCGTCGCGCGTGTTGCCGATGACGGCTTTTCATTCACGAGAAATACCTCCGCGTCCTCCACGCCTTTTCGCCACGCCGGCGGTACACATCGGGTATTGATCGTGTTCGGCGAAACGTCTTGTCGGCGATGACCCTCGTCAGTTGGAGCTCGGCGTTGAGAGAAATGTCGAAGAATTAGTATCGGGCTTCGATCTTCCTTGGAACGAGACCGCGAGGAGATCCGAGGAGTTCTCATGTGTTCGTTGGCTTCACAAACCTTTAGAATTCTACTTTTGTCAATGACGGACACGTTGGTATTTCTCGCGCGATGTAAAGTGTAAAATTATATGCATTAATGGTCCGTCTTTAAACATATCGAGAATGCTCTTCGACATTTCCCAGAAAGTTGCATTTTACATTGGCGCAACGAGGAACGCGTTTCCTAAATATGAAATGCACGCGCAACTTTATAGTTCTCTCGCTATCTCCCGTTAGCTTAAAGACTAAAGTCTCGCGAGTAAATATATAGCTCGAGAGAGTTTAACAGTTTCTATTATAAACTCGTCGCTTGTATATTTCAAATATATTTTAGGATCAAATCAATCCCAGTTTTACTTAAATTCACATATTCTTGCATGCTCTCTAAAACTGTAAAAATGTACATTCGACGTTGTCGCATCTCATGCAAAGGACGAAGAAAGTATCTATTCGTTGCAAATAATAATTCGATGTAATTACAAGAAAAATTTCCGACGAGTTTGAGGTTTCTTTCCTCGCTTCTTATACATCGTCTGAATTATCGAGAATCAAATTCGTTGAGATTAAATTGAATTAGAATTAGTTCGCAAAGCCGACCTTATTAAATGAGAATCTTTCCCGTGGGGTATAACCAGGTCAATCTCATCAGTCACACTTGTACGTACGATTGACAGCACCGTGTTGCGAGAGGATGTCGCGGGACGCAATGATTCCGTCGACTGCTCGCGGGCTCGGTCTGGCCTGTGCAAATTTGAGGTGCAGCCACCGCCGAAAGGGCCCTTTGCTCGCAATATCTGAATTTCAAAGAGAGCCGCGTATTCCAAGAATATTGAAAATCCTCGGGCGGGCAGAGTTGAAGTTGCAGAAATGGCGAAACGACTATTCCTCGATACCCGCAAAGAGAGAGAGAGAGAGAGAGAGAGAGGGATGAAGAGAAAAAGAGAGACCACGGCGACTGGAAAGGACGAGCGTTACGTAAAGAAGCACGGCGACTCGACCAGCGAGAGGATATCGGAAAGGAACGCTGGAAAGCGAAAAATCTTCGACGATGTCCAATAGGCAATCACGAAAGTCGATGATAATCCGACGCACAATCTGTGCGATAACAAATTCTGACGCGCTCTCTGCAGTAAAAACGCTATATCTCTCGGTCGTGAACTCTGCCGTGGAAATTATATTGCTAAAGGATTACATCGGAGTGAACGCGGGATACGATGATTGTATTGCAAAGTGCACTGCATCGAGAAAATATTTGGCAATTTGGCGAGAACACACGTAGAAAATTATTGTAGCTCTATCGTGGTTCTGCAGTGCACAGCAATAATCTTCTTATGTTTAGCATAAAACTGTTTTCGATGATTTAATAACGATTGAATAACTATGATGATATGCATGTTATTAACACGCGTGATCCAAAAGATGTGGATCTTTTGCCTGTTAACTAGATACAAAATTTTTAACTGCAGATAGGTATTTTCATTATTAGTTGTGTTTTATTAATCCTATCTGTTAAAAATTTTTGTGGATCATCTGTCATAGGCGGGCTAAACTGAATCGCAAAGCTCAATCATTTTGTAATTTTCGCAATAATTAATAAAGATCCGCGAATAAGCACATGTCCGCGCGAACAGACTGCCTACGCGTTCACTGTTGCTAGGAGCGTGGTGGGATGTTCGGGAAGTGTGCTTTACGAATGGACCAACAATATATAATTAATAAAAATCCGCGAATAAACGTATGTCTGTGTGAAGAGACAGCCCACGCGTTTATTAATTATTAGCTCATTAATTATTGCGAAAATTTAAAATGGCAAAGGACTTCTGTTCAGTACATTTAATGCGCCAGTCGAATCTACCTGCCCACGAGAGGTAATCCGCGAAATATCAATTGTGTGGGTGTGTATAAATGTAAAAAATATATATTTTTACATTGTCAATTAAAATTACGTAAAAGAAATCTCAAGTGATATCTCAAGAGATATTTTAAAGGTATTTTAGAACAGTGTTTCAAAATCGTAAATCAGGACAATAAATATCTGAAAGATGTCACAAGGATATCTTTTAATAATTTCATAGAGATATCTTCATTTTAAGATTTCCTTTAGATAATATTAAAATTTAATAATATTCTCTGAATAATATATAAGATTATAAGTACTATATGTATATTCTATTTTGCATATTTATTTCGCAAATTATAATTATTAATATCTAAATTAAATTTGGAAACTCGAAATATTTTAATTAATTTAGAAAAATATATGTAAGCAACATGTATCTTTCTGTGATAAATTTCTCTATTTTTAAAAAATTAATTATTTTTTCTTAACACGTCTTGTTTGAATGTAACTGGTATGAAACTTTGTTCACAGATCGTTATATCATATTTGGTCGTAATGACATCAGTCAATCAGTACGAAGCTGATGATGACTGGATTTTCGATGTAGAAGTGACGCATCTATAAAAAAAATAATCCTTGGCTGTCAAACTTGTGTTGCGCATGGCGTGCGAACTGTACACATAACCGGTATCTTCGGTTTTTTAATATTGTATTTCTGTTAAAATTTATAATCGGAGTGATAATAGATACTTTTCATGTTGAATATAAAAAGCGTTAAAAAATATGGCCGGATTGCATTTAATACAAACGTATTCATCCGACTCAGACGAAGACGAGCAAGATGAGAAGAGAGAGGATCATAAAATTGTAAACAAGTACATAAATTATATCAATTATTCTGGATTACATTATTTAACAATAATTCTTCTCTCTGAAAGCTCTCTTTTTTTATGGTAGTAAAAAGCAGTGCTTGAAATAATCATAACAGTTCTGTAATTCTTAGGTTTGAATTTGAGGTTAGAAAACACTGTTTATAAACCTGATATATACTTTAGATATTTAGATATAATCGTACATGCAATTAATAATACAGAATATAATATTAAAGTTGTGTAATTTCTCTGAATATTGGCACGCAAGGACAAAAAAATAACATTGCTTACATATATTTTTACTTAGACGTTTGAATGAATTTCCAGGTTAGCTTTACCTGAAAGTATATTATCATGGAAAGGAGTTGCGTATAATGAAGAAGTGATCGATGATCCGCTGGATCACGACGGACGATTACGAAGCTTTAAACATGAGCGCGGTAATTGGGCAACTCTGATTTACATAAATTGTAAGTATTTCGCCTTCGAACATATCGATATTAATTTGCATCTCGTGGCAAAATATATAGTTCGAGAAGAAACTTCGCTTAATACAATATTAATATTAAATAACCAGTAATAGAATTATTCAGAAATTTCTTTTAAATTATTCAAATTGATTTTAGATACACCCAGCGATTGCCTTCATACTTGGATAACATCTGTGTTGAGTGAACTGCCTGTTCAAGGGAACATCATTTCTAGTCTTCATATTAGTCTCAGTCGTACCTTGGTCTTAAAGTTTCATTGGATCGAATCGTTTGTGGAAGGCATAAAGCTGTCGTGCCGTAGATTTAATAAATTTGCCCTACAACTCACGGATATAAGGGTGTACTGTAATGAGGAGAGAACTCGCACATTCCTCGGAATTTATTGTCAAGATGAGGATGGAATGTTGAAGTGCCTAACAGAAGCTGTCGACAATTTACTAGCTGAATATCAATTGCCATCGTTTTATAAGGTACATGAAAATATTCTTTTATTGCATTTTTGTTAAATGCACATATAACGTGAGGATAAGTAACAGATTTTATAGTTTGCATTTGTCTTTTGATCCTTCACTGTAGTCACGTTGCTTGATTACGTCAGAATCAAAAATATCGTGTGAATTATCATTCAATATGAGTGCAGTGAAAGACCGAGATAAACCTAAATAATTCGATATATTTCTTATGTACAGGATTCTTCATATCACATTAGTTTCTTCTGGTGCCTTGGAGATCAGCGAGCGTGTTTGAAAGAAATTCTGCCATCTCTTACGAACAGTTTAAACAAATTTTTGGCGGAAAACATGGAAGATGCTTATGTGCACGTCAGTGAGATACAATGCAAAATTGGAAATAAAAGTTTTAGCTTTGAATTAAAATAATAAATTATACAAATTAGGCTGTAAAATCTATTTTAGGAAATTATATATACAGCACTTATTATCAAAAAGCAAAACTGTCATTTAATTGCTTCTTTCAATTGATTAAACCCGATTCAACTGAGTTTTTTTTTTACAGAGCTTTAAAAATATTATATAAAAGAGAGATACCGATTAATAATTTACTTAAATTATAATAGTATTGCTTTGTATTATAAACATTGTTGAACATTGTATTATAAAATATAAATTATTTTTCTAGAAATATATCTACATATTTTATAGGATATTTTATTTTTTAAATAAATTATTTTTCGTGTATCAAAATTAGAGATGTACTATTTTCCATTAGAAAGTCATATTGGTTTAAAAATCACCAAGTTATGAGGCAATTTCGTAACAAGACCCGTGCCTCGCCACAATTGAATCCACGATTCACATAAATTGGGCTCTATGCTAGCCAGTAGCGTACAAACCTCAGGATTTTGTATAGTCAATCCTACCTCTGGATTACTCGCGATTTCTTTACAACCACTGACGTCGATATAAGTTAACGTGGGGTCACGACTTAATAATGCGTTTATGGATAACAGAGATACATTTATATTCCCTCTAAGTATTAATTTCAACAGTCTAGGCAATTGTCTTACGATAATCTTAACATCGGAGTCCGTTACGTCGCAGAACGAGAGATCCAGCGATTCTAAGCTCGGTGCCAGAGCTACGCTCGTCGTATCTAGACTCAAGACGGGATGGCTGGAAGACAGAATATTAGATAAATTCAAGTCGAACAGTTGCCTACTCAGGAAGGAGGTCGCTGCGTCGCGACTTAATTTGTTCCACGAAATGTCGCAGCTCGTCAGATTGGGATTGTCAAGTGGAAGACGAAAATCCTCCAGCATGCAGTAACGCAGGTTAAGAGTCTGCAGGCATCTCAGGGGCGCAATCAGCTTTCTCAGGATATCGCGGCTCTCGGGACTCAACGGATTGTAACTCAGATCCAGGACTCTCAACTGAGGAGGCAACGAGTTCACCTGGCGTAAGCAGGCGCCATCGATATCACAGCCTTTCAAATAGAGCTCCTGCAGCGACAGTAGATTCGAGAGACACCGATGCAAGTGCATCCCCGCCGTAACCAACACGGTGCCCGACAATTGTAACAGCTTGACGCTCCTTTCGTATTCCAAGGTCTTCAACAACGGCACGAGCACCTGTTTGTCGATCTCGTCGGACTTTACGCGAAATATCGACGTGTTCTCGCAAGATTTAAGGCACTTAAGCATTACCTCGCAGGCGGCCAGATTGTGAGTGCGACAGACGGTCTTGTATCGCTCGACGACGGACGGTACCTGCAGCTCGACGATCCCGCACTCCAATTTGTCGCTCCTTGTGTTTTCCCTCGCGAACTCCAGGATACCCTCCTTCGTGACGACGGTGCCATTCACGGGCCGCAACTGCAACTTGACCGTGCAACCGGTCTCGTCGTGGAACATGCGTTCGGTGGTGCTCGTAATGCACGTCAGGAACTCCCTCTCGTCTTCGCAAACTGCCACCTTTAGACTGAACACCTTCTCTTCGACAAATATACGTAAATGTACGTATTCCTTGTCGTGCTGTCTCGAACTTGTTGCAGGAGGCGGAGACGGTTGCAGCGGACGAGCCACGGGGGACGGCGTGCGAGACACGGTGAATCCGCTCGAGATCAAGGACGTTTGTCGTTTCCGCTTCCTCCTCTTGGGTTCTTCGAACAACTGACAGATCTCAACGGCGGAATCGTCGCCGCTGTCTTCGCTCGTACTGAAATCGTCCCTACTGCGACGCGCGCCGTTCAGCTTCAATTTCTTAACAGCGCTCTCCAGATTTCCGTCCGAAGACTTGCGCTTGATTGTGCCAGTGTGACTACTGTTCGACGGCCTGTTCGTAGATTTTTTCTTCACTGCACTTCCTCCGAGATCGTCCTCGAGCCAGTCGTCGACGAGAACTTGTTCCTCGCTCACCAAAGGCGTGACGGCATTGCTGCTGCCTTTCGACGCGCCGGCGGCGTTCGTTTTATTGAAGGCTCGCATGCTCTCGATTGTCCTCTTGTAATCCTCACCGGCGGATATCTTTCGGACCTCTAGTGCCTCGGACGATGACGCGGACTTGTCGGGCGTGCGAACGTCGCTGGATCTCCTCCTTCTCTTTCTCATCGGAACAACAGCCGAGAGCTCTTTATACATCGCGTCGTATTCGACTAAATCCTGAGGGCTTAGATCATCCACGCGACTCCTCCAGTCCTCCAGGCAATCCAGCACCGTGTCGCCGTCGTGGGTCTTCAGCGTCGCGCTCGCGCCGTGCTGCATCAGCAGCCGCATTATCGAGAAGTGACCGCAACACGCGGCGTCGTGAAGCGGCGTCACGCCCTTGCAGGACGCGCCGCCCGGATCGTTGACACTGGCGCCGTGCTTCAGAAGTAGCTCCGCGATGTCCACGTAGCCGTGATTGGCGGCCTCGTGAAGCGGCGTCCAGCCGCAGTGGTCTCTGACGCTGGTGGTGTGACCGGACGACAGGAGCCTCTCGACGGCACTGATATTACCGTCGATGCACGCCACGTGCAGCTGCGTCTCACCCTTGTCGTTCCTCTTGATCACGGACGACGTTCCTCTCCTCGCTCGTCTCTTGGCCGGCCTCCTGGCACTTTCCTCCGTTTCCAGATCGGACAGATCCTCCAGGCAAATATCCGCGCCGATTCTGTCGCTCTCCTCGGACGACGCTTCGCTCTCCGTGTCGCTCGGTGTCTCCAGCGTTAAACCCGCCTTCCGCTTCATATCCCTCGCCTCGTCGAGCTGGCCTACGCTCTCCAGATAATTAATGAGCTCTCTCATAACAGACTTTTGCAGCTTAACGCTATCGCTTTCGTTCGCTGCGCTCAACGCTAAAGTGTAACACTCGCGGATCTTTGCGTCGGCGGCCTTCGTCGTTACTAATAAATCTGCTAGAAACAGCGCCGATCTGCATTTCTCTCGGGGAAGGACGCAGAGATCCAGTTCCCGCTGGGCAAACGGCAACGCTTCCTCGTACCGCCTCGCGTCTGTCAGCGTTCGCGCTAGGCTCACCAAAGAAATAATTATTTGCTCGCCCGTTTCCTCCGCGCAGGTCAACATGTGTCGGTAGTACTCCGCGCCTTTGTCAAAGCATCTCACGGCGACCGCCGCGTCGCCCAGCGTCTCGTACAGCCTCTGCTTGGCCCGCGTGTCGGTCTCGACGAGAAGACCGTTCTCCGCTCGGCATATAGTTACAACGATCTTCAAGTACTTTTCCACCTGTTGATTAATGTCCTTCGGCAATCCGCTGCTCGTGTACAGGGAAACCAATACTTTGCGCGTTTCGATCCACTGCCCGGTCCGCATGAACAGCTCGGCCTTCGTTATCCTCGCCTCGGCTCTCAGGCACACGTCGTTCACGCTGGCCGCGGTCTCGATGTAACTCAACGCCAGCTCGTGATTGTTCTGTCGCTCGTATATAGCCGCCAGAGAGATGCACGCTCGATGCAGGTCCTCCTGGAAGTTGTTGGACTCGCACAGCGCGGTCGCCTGCTCGATCAGGCTGATCGCCTGCGGCGTCTCCCTCTGTGCTTCCAGCGTCAGTCCCAGGTTGAGCAGCAGCCTCGCCCGCATCAGCGTTCTCTCCTCCAGCTTGATCTCGCCGGCCGTCAACTTGTCGCACAGCTCCATACTCCGCATGTAGGCCGTCTTCGCGTTCGCCAGGGCCTCTTCGCGCTCCCCCATCTTGTCGCTTTCGGCCAGACAGAAGTAGGTTCTGCCCAGAGTGGCGAACGCCCGTTGCTCCTCTATCGAGTTCCTCAGCTCCTTGGCGCCCTCCAGATGTAGATTCTGGTGCGTCAGGGCCAGCTCGTAATCACCCTGACACGCGTAAACCTCCCCGATCATTCTGTGCGCTATCGCACAGCTCAGCTTGTCCTGCAGCCTCTCGCAGACGCTCAGCTGCTCCGTGTATTCCCGCAGCGCCTCCCGCAGCTGTCTCCTCTCGAAGTACATGTCCCCCAGGGTCTTCGTGATTTCGGCCACCTGACGAAGATTGTTGCTACGCTGTGCCTGCTGCTTCCTCCTAATGAGTCTATCGACGTTCATTTCCGACGATTTTCGTAGGTCTATGTAAAATCTATCTTATCCTCTTCGAAATCCTGTAAGGCACAGGACAGTCAATTTCATTGAAGAAATAATATTTGACGAGGAGATTTAAGAGTTCTGAAAATCCAATGATGCAATTACCTCTTTGATATGCAGCAAGATCTCGAAATCTTTAAAATTTGAACTAATCGGCACTGTGAGAAGCGTAATAAATTCTCAATTGACTGATCTCTTCTTTAAATAAGAGCATATCTCCAATGATGTATATTCCAAAAAGTGACGACGGAGGTTACGAATCTGTCACGCCGTTGTCGGCGTGTTCGGGCTCACGATTTTGGCGCCATCGGTGCGTTCTGAAATTCATCAGAAAACAGGCCGACCGGACGAAGCCGCGAGGTGTCTCTAGAGTCTAGCACGTGAGTTTCGTGGTATTTCAGAATTCAGACTTCAGAGGCATTTAGAACTGGTGAAAGCTCTACTGCCGACTGGCAGGCATTTATAAGGGGTGACTGCTGCCGTAAACAAGACGCTGCAGTGCAGGTTGCACGCACGCACAGGAGAATGAAAAGTAATTAACGGTGCCGTTCCAGTTCGATTCGGTTCGATTTGTGAGACAAAGTCTCCTCGGGAATCGTTTCTTCGTGATTTGACCGATTTCTTTGTATCCAGCTTGACGCAACCCGACGAGTCGACGATCAGGATAAGCGAGGAATCGTGCGAACATCGCACGTTAGACAGCCAAGCGCTTATACTGCGGAGAGGTAAATTTTCAGACTGTAACAAAATTAACATATTGTCGTTATTTTTTAATTCAAGATAAAATTCGATAGCAAAAGAAAAACAAACAAAAATGCCAAGCTCACAGTTCCAGTCTTTTGTTTACATAGGTTTGTTTTTTATTATTACATTCATATTTTTTTATTCCTCTCGCACGAAAAGTAGCAATCTCTCGATAATTAATGATCGTGATTTCAGGTTGTAATTGATCGCCGATCAAAATACGATTACTTCGAACGCTTACGTGAAGATGCGATTATAACCTCAAGGACTCGCATCTTTTTCGCATTTCCAAATAAGATTCGTCGTCAGCAGTGTCAGTGGATAACTAAGAGCTAAAAAATGGATCAGATGCTTCCGAGTCCGGGCTTCAGCATACCCAGCATCGGCACGCCACTGCATCAGCCGGAGGAGGATCAGCAGATCCTGCCGAATGCTCTGCAGCAGCAGCAACAGTCGCAGCAGTTCCAGCAGCAGCTGCAGCTACACTCGATGAGCCCCAACATGCAGAGCGGCATGCTGATGATAACCACGCCGCAAAAGAACATGCACACGTACGCACCGACTCCAACGTTTGCGACGCCGCAGAGTCTTATGCAGCCGCAGACGCCGGTAATTCAGCGTTGAGTTTAATGCGTAATTTAATCGTGCGTGCCAAGTTGTGATGTTGTTGTGAAATTTGGGATTCAAGACATTGTTAGTATTAATTTATGAATGTTGAAAATTCACAATTTAGAAAGATAAACATTAAAGAGTTAAAGAACGTTAAAGAGAAATTTTTCTGTTACACAATTGTAACCTCAATTGCAATTTTGAACAAAGGACTGAAAGAGGTGCAACTAAGATAGTATTCTAAGCACATTAATTTTTATTTCATTATTTTAATACTACTTTTACCTTTTATTCCTTAGCAAAACATGATGTCTCCGATAGTACCACAAAACAATCAAATCGCGCCGCCATCGATAGGTCCCGCGACCCCAGGGCCAATGACACCAATGACTCCAGCTTCCGCAGATCCTGGAATATTACCGCAGCTGCAGTAAGTTTGTAAAGGAAATTCAATGATGTGACATCACACCTGCCGCCCCTATTTTTCTTTAAGTATCACATTTTCGCTCTGTTCCAGAAATATCGTGTCTACCGTTAACTTAAATTGCAAACTGGACTTGAAGAAAATAGCGCTTCATGCTAGAAACGCCGAGTATAATCCGAAGAGGTTTGCGGCTGTAATCATGCGAATAAGAGAACCAAGGACCACCGCGTTGATATTCAGTAGCGGCAAGATGGTTTGTACAGGCGCCAAGAGCGAGGGGGATTCGCGTCTCGCCGCCAGAAAGTACGCAAGAATTATTCAGAAATTAGGTTTCCCCGTAAGTATCGTCAATCCGCGCCTTTCAAATTGTGATACAAAATGAGTTTAGTTTTCTCAATGCAGTGTTTTTTAAGTACTGCTAAGTACCGTTTATCGACAAAGTATTCGATAATAATATAGATTTGATTCTTCATTAGTGATGTCGCGATTTGATTTGTTTCAGGCAAAGTTCCTAGATTTTAAGATCCAAAATATGGTCGGCAGCTGTGATGTTAAGTTTCCAATTAGATTAGAAGGTCTAGTGCTCTCTCACGGACAGTTCTCGTCGTACGAACCAGAGCTATTTCCGGGTCTGATATATAGGATGGTCAAGCCTCGAATTGTATTACTCATATTCGTCTCAGGAAAAGTGGTATTAACAGGTGAATGTCCATCGCTCTATAATTCTGTTACACAGTAATTTTGTAGTAAGGTACATACGCGTTGCAAAACATTTTGGGAACACAGTTTAAAGTCTCGGCTGTTTACAATTTGCAAATATAACGCATACAGACTTGCATAAAAGATTGAAAATTAGAATGTATGTTTGTGCTTCAATATTTATTATGTATTTATATATTTATATATTTATATTTACCACCAGGTGCAAAAGTTCGTAAGGAAATTTATGAGGCCTTCGACAACATCTATCCAATCCTGAAGAGCTTTAAAAAGCAGTGATTCTGCACGTTTTTTTTTTATATATATAGTTTAATGTAATAATTTGTTTCCAACCATCTCCATTTCTAATAGATTATAGTTATTTTGTAATATGAAGTCACATAGATGATAGCAAATTATATCTATCTTTGTCGTTGAATTGCGTGGTTAAATACCTCTGATTATTCAATACGCAGAATGTTTAAAAATCGTTGGACATTCTTGCTGCAGATCTTTTCCAGTCTACACGAAACCGATCTTTTCTTAATGAAAAACTTGAATGATTTACATGATTTTGAAATAGTAAGCGTCGAAACTTTTGCTTATCAAACTTCGAGAGAGTAGTAGATGAGAAAATATTCTTCCATTCAGTTGTAAGTTTTCTTGTAATAAATTCCTCGATACTGAAGAAAGATCTTTAAATAAATAAAATAAATGGTTAAAAAAATATTCAGTAATTTTGGAACAATGCATAAACCAATGATTCATAGATAGTAATTTATAAAATAGTCCATGTTCATTTCTTTTTAAAATATTAGTTTTTTTTCAATGTGCGAAAAGCAAACAGTGCAAAGATACAACTTGTGTAATCTTATAATGATATTTCATATTTACCAAACATTAATTAACTCATGATGACAACAGAAATTCTAAAAAAGTATGTGTAAAATCAAATTGTATGCTATAACCAGAAGTTTCTGAACCTTCCCCTTTTGCCTTCCTTAAGGATAATAATAGTGCAAATAATTCTATTTATAAAATAGAGTCTTCTAATAATGTGCCTCGATTAAGATTACATGAGTAATCAATGTGTATGCTTTATCAATTTTAATTCCTAGCAGAACTATGAGTTTTCTGAAGTTTTATCATAAAAATATTGCCGTAGTAATGATACAATTGTAATATTATATATTATAATATTTCATATCATTATATTGTATTATAATTAATCGAGTCTTTTAATTTGAATTTCTTTAAAAGGATCGCCTATTAATTATAAATAGACTTCAATAAAAATTTATAGTATCTGCTGAGAGTTAATTATTGTCACACATTGTACATTTAAAAAAATTAGCGTCGAAAATGTTCTACTTTTGAATTCCGCTTATTAAAACTAATTTGATATACAAATTCTTTCTTCCTTTGAGTAACAAATATTACAACATATACCTCTAATGTCGTCTCTACAAAATTTTTTTTTATTATGAAATTTATTTGTTGAATCAGAAATTGTTCACTCACATAGAACTATATGATGGCAGTAGCTCATCGAATTAAATCTTTCAATTAATGAAAAAGATGTTTGGAAAAAATAACATTTTTTTATTAATATTTAATTTAAATACTTGTAGAACATATTCGACTTATTAGAGGCTTAATATTTTTATAGATCCATTTCGAATGGGATTCCAATGTATGTACATACATATAAGAGAAGCTCACAATTAATTTTTCAAATACGCAAGCTATAATTTGCATAATCACTATTGTATTGTTTAATATTTAAGTACAGACATATTATTTGTTGCATATGTTTGATTGTAATAAATTTATGTACAATGAAAATATTTATTCTTTGTTTCTTCAATAGATATAAATAACGCTCGGTTAAAAATGTAAAAATATATCTAATAAATAAGAGAACCACTTTGTTTATAAATATATACATATACGATTAATCATTATAAAAATATTAATAAGTACAATAATATATTTCTAAGAAAAATTACGTACCCAAAATTGTAAGATTGTAATAAATATGCGAATCGTGAAAAATTGACAGTTTAACAAATTTATAATTTTGATTTTAATCTATCTCGCAATATTCGACGTAATATTTTACCGGATGGAGTTTTTGGAATGTTGTCTACAAATCTTATTCCGCCTCTAAGTCGTTTAGGATTTGATACGCGTTCTGAAACAAAAATATATATAGATACATGTAGAATACATAAATATACATACAATATTCATGAATATATTAAAGATACATATACACATTAAATATATATTACAATATTGCGCAAAAGATATTAAGACATTTGATATGAAAAAATCACAAAGTTAAGGCTTTTGAGTTTCCAATTTAGCACCGCGAAAAAAAAACTTGAAAATCTAATCTCCAATGTTCATGTTTTCTAGTAAAATACCATATTTTTATTTCGTCTCAAAGATTTTCGCAAAATTAATAAAGAATTTTTTATCAGTGAAAGGAAAAAAAATGTAATAGAAATGCTTCATACACTGTAATGTTATTAAATTAATTCCGTCACCATATGATATAATGATACTGAACAAATAATGAATCTTACCATTAACATACTGGATTAAATCTTTTTCGCAAATGTTGGCATTATTTTCCTTTACAACGAAGGCCATTGGTAACTCCCCGGATTTCTCGTCCGGTATGCCAATTACGGCCGCGTCTAGTACGCCAGGATAAGTCAACAAAATCGCTTCGAGCTCAGCTGGTGGAACCTGGTAGCCTTTGTATTTGATAAGTTCCTTTATCCGATCGACAATGTAAAAGTAGCCGTCTTCGTCGTAGTATCCTACGTCTCCCGTATGCAACCAGCCATCCTTGTCAATCATCGCTCTAGTGGCTTTTTCGTTATTATAATAGCCCTTCATTATCAAATCTCCTTTGAAGCATAATTCCCCCGTGCAATTTGGCCCTAAAGCTTCATCCGTCTCGTATTCCCCAATTGGTATTATCTTGGCTGAAAAAAAATATATCAGTTACATATCGCCAAATCTTGTTGACATTTCATTATCTATATATTGATAGAAAAAGTGCACTCTCTTAAAACCATAAATATTGCATATTATGGAAAGAAACGGGGGAGCAACTACATTCGAATAAACTATCAGATCGATATGTAAATGTTATTTAACAGTTACTGTATGACAATATTATGTATGTAGTTTAATGTAAACATTTACAATTAAATAACGATAAGTTCAATTTTAAATTTATATTAAATTTTAACTTCACTATGATTAAGACAAAACGTATTTGCAGATCTCTGTATTGTATAATAATAATAGATATTGATTAATTACGCTTTTTAAATAGGACATTATTATTTTTAATCGGGAAATTATTACCTGACATGCCTGGAACTACCATGCCAACGCTGCCTGGTTTCACATTGTCCACTGGGGATCGTAGCACAGCTAAAGTGGTTTCTGTTAATCCGTAACCTTGTCTAATTTCAGTAATATTTAACCGTTTAGCGACGGCCTTCTCAATTTCCTTCGATAATGGAGCTGCTCCACTCCTAATTAAATAACTACTTTAGTAATTATATAATTTTTTTTAGCAATTTTCGACATAAATCTATTATCTGATAGAAGATATACATTTTTGAAGTATCCAAATAAGTTTTAGCAACAGCCCTATTGCATGGGATTCCTGTATAATTTTAAAGAAAACTGTTATAAGAAAGAAAAAATATTTATGTATATAAAACAAAAAAACTTGGCTTGGAAATGATTTTACAGCAGAAATTAAAGCAAAAACATGTAAAATTTTTACTTTTACAACTCATATAACAATATAGAAAGAGAAATTAGATTACATAAATTATATTAATTTCACACATATTAAGTGCTAAGTTTATTATTCCTTTTCTTCTACTAATTTTGGAATCTTCCCTCATTTTTTGAGTGCATGATTTAAAAATCTATGCTTGGATTACAACTTCTTCGTCTACTTTTTTAACTTGTGAATCACAGCAGTTTTCTCCCAAGACTTTGATATCTTGTATCTGTTATGTACTTACCATACTCCTTTAACAGAGGATAAATCATATTTATCCACAAGTGGATGCTTGGCCAGGAACACCATAAGCGACGGTACCACGGGCAAATACTGAATTTTATATTTCTCCACGTATCGCAGGAATAGCTCTTCCTCGAAGCGTGAGAACACAACGCAGCAGTGTCCGCTTAACAGGCCGAGTACCATCACGACGAAGGAATAGGCGTGAAAGAATGGGAGCAGTGACAGGATTACACTGTTTTCAGGCAGGGTGTTGTTGTTTACATGCATGCGTATGACCATAGTGATATTTTTGTCCGTCAACATGACACCTTTTGGCAGGCCCGTGGTGCCGCTCGAGCACAGAATCGCTGTTACATGATCGGCCACGTCGACAGGAGCCGCTTCGATGGCATCCGCGGCCTCGCCGGAGACGCTCGATATCACCTTGTACATGCTGGCCCACGATCCAGCACTGCCGTCGTCGCGAAGCATCAGCACTCTCGGCGACCAGTTCAGCTGTCTGACTACGTTCCTCATGAGGTTAGACGCCACCGGCGAGATGAAAATGTACTTGGGCTTCGAAATCGAGAGCACATGTTTCAATTCTCTCTCGGAGTACAGCGGATTTAACGGGCAGGCGATGGCGCCCAGGTAAAACGTGGCGCACACGGGAATGCAAAACTCCAGATTGTTTTCGCTGCACACGGCCACGGTGTCGTTCGCTCTCAGTCCGTCTCTCTGCAGGTAGATCGCCAATCTCCGGCTGGTGTCCAAGATGTGCTGGAATGTCTGCTTCTCGCCGGTGTGAGGGTTTATCTGGCAAACAGGTGTATTGTTAGTATCTTACATAGTCGAAGGCTGTACCTACATGTACAGCAAAAATTGTACAATAAATCCGTCTGCCGCGTTATATATTAAATTAAACATATCGCGCGTTATGTCGGTGTAGATTAATTGTAGAAAATCAACAAATCAATCGCGAATTTACCTGCGCCACGCGAGTGCCCTGCATCTCCAATTGCGTTAATAATAGCTGCCCCATCGAGATATCAAGATCCGCCAACACCTCACCATCACCGTGCAGAATATTCGATCGCCGTGGCATGTTGGACACGAGGAGAAAATTGACACTACTTGACTTTTCTGTAGAACGTTAGAATCTCTCGAATCGTAATGGAACGTTGAGAATGCGATACTTTACACTTTGAACGCGGTGCTTACATAATAATGAGGAGGCAAGGTGAATAATAAATCTTATCTACGCACCAGTCATTTATCATCCTGTAGTATCAATTACGAAATTAAAAATCAATAAACACGCCGTATCACGCCGCCGCCTCGAAGATAATTACAGGCGTTCAAAAAAAGCCGGTAGTTCCGTTACTTAATGATTAGATGGCAGCACGCGTACTGTTTTCGATCGAAATACGGACAGCCGTGCTTCCAGATGTTCGGTAGATGGCGCAAACGCCTCTAAAAGCGATTTCGATGTGAATCGCTTGATTCGATTGCGGTGATTGATTCGAGTCGACAGAATTGCTCGAAAGAAAATTTTTATAAAACCATATAATTATCGTTTCTAATTATTCCCCCCTCCACGTTCCGATTAACAAACAATAAATAATTTTATTCACGTGAGTTAATGAAATAAGTGTTAAATCCATTTGATATAATTTAATCGGCGCGATATTCAATTGAATATTGAATTGCTTATAAAAAAAAGTATTTTTATGTAATCAAAGGATTGTTGTTGATTTCATTTTTCCTTCCACATGCCAAATAATCTAACAAATAAGTAAATATATTCACATTAATAAAATAGTACGATCAATGTTTGATAAGTTGATCGGCGATTACCTTCAATCTAGATAGCACAGAGAGTTCAAACAAAATTTATTCGTATATTAAATTCAGTATTTTTCCAGAACTTATGACATACGACTGAATTCTTTTCGAACTCTCTGCGATATCTGGGAATTAACCGGTAAATTGAATAAAAAAATTTTTATGACTATAATACAATTGTTGTCTCTAATCTAATCTTTCTTTCCATGTTAATGTTTCTTTCCATATTAAATAACCAAACAAATAAAATTCTATTCAAAGTAACAAAATAATATGTACGATAAGTGTTGCTTGAATAATTGCTGTTCGTTTAATTGTAAGTTAATCGAAGCCACCCTAAGGCTATACTAACTTTTTTATCTTGTAGAAATAAAAAAAAAAGAAATATAGATGGACATGGACTTGTGTAAGACACACAATAGAATCTATTCTCCATTTTAAATTCCCTGTCCCCTTCAAACCGGAATTCATCTCATGCGTAATATGAATAGGGAAATCGTACGTAATGGAAATAAGAAGTGCCATGTTGCTGCATTTTTCATATTAGACATGTGACTAATTGATTTTCTTGTGCATACGCACTACATGATTTTTAAAGCAAATCCATTTGAATAGATCTCGAAGGATGAAAGAATATTTTCGAAAGACAACATTGATTTTATTCTCATGTTTTTTACATCACGCAAGAGCTGCTTACTGTTTCCATTATGTAAAAAAGATTCTCTTTAATAAACTGTTTTTTTTAAAGAAAAGAAAAACGGGAAAGAAATTAAAAATGAGTATTATTGCAAAACTTGATATTGAAGAACTCGAATAAAATGACAATTATAATCAACTTAAAATAATGTTTAAAAGATATTTCTTATTTGTAAAAATATTTCTTGCTTCTATATGTTTTAAAAAAAATTTTGTATAGATTCACGATAAAATATATATTCTTTGTATGCGCCATTAATTTTTATCTTGATTGAATTAATAACTTACTTAATAAAACGTACAATGTACTATTGTGCAAATATAAAAGTAAAAATTTTTAAAATTAAGTACTTTATAAATAAATGATTTGATCAAAATGATTTCTTTCCTTTTTTATCTGTTCTACACCACACACACATCTAAAAAATATATATATTTTTTAAATGTAGCATAGATTTATACAGAATTATAAATAAAACATACGTAAAACTTAAAAATTAAAAATTAAAAAAAATTTTATAATACATGTATCTTTCAAATATATTAATAAAACTTATGTAATAAGTTAAAGTTTTCGTAAATTCTCAATTATAATACATTTCTGTTGGTATTTATTATTCTCTTAAAAAAGTTTCTTATATTGATAAATAACTAAAGAACATTTTGCTTCTATATTTTATACGTAAAATTTAGAAGCGATTAAAATGATACATTTGACTATTCGACAAAATTTCGATGACGAATTGGAATCTGAATAGCACAATGAATGTCTTTCCGTTTTTCTACATTCTCTTTGAACGTTAATATCATCTTTAATAATATTTCCATGTTTTCAGAGATTTCAAAGAGCAGTATACCTTTTTGTCATCTGGGTGTCTCATCTCGTCCTATAAAAAAGTTCAGTAAGACAAATTAAGAACGATCGCTTTTATTGCATTGAGCATTTGTACACATTATATTTATATGTACGAAATTTATAGTATTTAAGAAATAATGAACTGTCTTCCTCTTTTTTCTCTATGAAGACGATAATAGAATAGCACCAGTAATTTTTTATTGCAAGCGCTAAATTCTTCAACGTAAGAATTTCAGTTTTTTAATTAATCACGAGCTATTAAACAATTTATACATTATTATGTAGTCAATAATACAAAAGCTGACGTTAAAAAAATATTTAACGATTAAAATAATCGATTTGTTAATTCTAACATTTAACTTAAATTCATTTTATCCATCAAAGGATTTCACGACGGATATTTACAGAGGAAAAGGGAATACATTTAAACACACATGAGCAAATTCAACAATCTGAATATCGCTAAAATAAGTTCCAGCATTTTTTTGCACTTGTCAAAAGTAATTCTTTTCTACTTTCGAAAAACGCAAAAAAAAATACTTGGACGTTCTATTGTAGCACACGATATTCAAATTAAATGTGTTCTGTAGTATCCAAATATATCCCTCCTTTTTACATAAATAATAATTGCACATCTGCGATTTCTATACAAGTTAAACTACCGATGATTTTTTTAATGACAAAACGGGTGCACTAGTGCGCACTAGTGTATTCACTGAAGGCTGTCATACGTAAAGTGACACTTTAAAAAACATATTTATCATAGAAATGTTCAGCACGAGTTATCACGTAGTTTGGCGGGATATCTGATGTCAAACGTTTCCTTGGTCAAGACGCTTATGTTTTAATGCTTTTGTAATGAGATAAATTCGTGTACAACAGCCTTTGTAGTTTGCACCAGCATGCACCAACGCATCGGATTCGTTATCGGATGCACAAGATAGAGACGAATCTCGCCGATATTGCTGATATCACCCACGTGAGAAATTCATTCGGATCAACACCACTGAACGCAAAATGCCTGGATTCTCACGCTTGCGCCGACAACCACAGGAGAACGGCGACGGAACCGTCCGCGCGTTCCCGTCCGGGAAAAAAAAACCCGCGTGCGGGAGAATCTTAGTAGTGAAACTCGGGGAAGTTCCTCTCGCCGAGGAAGCTCGGATTTGTTGCGCTTGGAAGCGATGCGTGACGGCCGACGCAGATCGAAAAGTACCGTCGGTCGCTGAGCCCCCGACGAGGATTTCGGCGCGTGTGCCGCGAAACATTTTTCCGTCGACGGTTTTTCCCCGCCCTTTAAGTCGTCGGGGAAGGCGGTGTCGAGCGGACGGCCGCCCCGAGCCGAGCGGTCGCACGGCATTGCGCGCAGCGGCCGCCACAATGTCGGGCGCGAGCTCGCGCGAGCGTTACGATAGGCAGACGTGTCCAGGTTCGCTCGGGCACGGGCACCAACGGCACACCGGCTGACGCGGTGGGCTCGTCCCTACACGGGTAACGACGGCGACCGACTAGGTCCAATGAACGACGAGACGGGACGGTCGCGCCGCCCGTATAACGGCGTTCGTCCAATGACCGTACGGCGGATCTCAGCATCCACTTCTCCCGGTCGCGCGGACCTCACCGCTTCTCTCCACGGCGTATGGAAACCCTTCTCTCACACGCAAAAGGGGACATCTCATCACGACTCTTGGTAGCAGGCACTTCTCCGTAGTGGGCACTCCACTCATCGTGTCGTCGTACGGGTTCTCCGCGAGAGGCTGTGGGGCCTGTGCCCGGGCGGGCGAGCAAGCGAGCGAGCGAGCGAACGAGCGCGAGCGCGAGCGGGCGAGCGCTGGTCGAGTGGGTCTAAGCGGCCGTGAGGACCTCTCCAGGAGTACCCGACAGAAGTCCTCTCCATTCATTCATCCATCCATCCAGCCAGCCAGCCAGCCAGCCAAGCCAGCCTAGCGAGCAAGCAAGCAAGCAAGCAAGCAAGCAAGCCAGCCAGCCAGCCAGGCAGGCAGGCAGCCACCCAGCCAGCCATCCATCCATCCATCCATCCATAGAGCGGCTCTTCTCCTACGGAGAGTGTATCCTCGACGAAGGTGGAGGCGAAGCGTAGAGTGGTACATCTACCATCGTCTCTCTATCGGCGGAATCCAAGGACTCGAAGACCCCCGTGTGATTTCAGTCGGCCGCCGGCCGGCTCTGGCCGGCCACTATCCTCGACCACGTGTGCAAGGTCGCCGTTGTCGCACCGCGTATCCTTCCGTCCGTTTCCGGATTTCCGCAGGAGAGTGAGACGCAACGGCGACACGTCGACTTAACGTTACGTTCCCCGCCGAGACAGTGCGTCGAGAGATCCGAACGATCGCAGGGGAGCCATCCGAGTCGGCCGCCGGCCGACCGCCGCGGCCTCGATTTTTTCCGATTACGCGTGACAGTTCGCCGTGCGCCACGTGACCATCGTGCGTCCCTTCGTCTCTTTAACGTCAATCTCAGCTGACGCGGCACGAGACGCGTTTCCAGAGAAGGTATACCCAGGAAACAACAACGGACGACGAATTGAGAAGAAAGAAAACATGGATAAAACCATCGACGGTGCCGTCAAATAAAATACGCGCAGTGAGGACGAAGGTCGAGTTCGATCGTCTTCGAGGAGAGACGTCAGTGTCCACGGCGGGTCAAGCATTTTCGGTGAGCTGTACGTGCCTGTGTGAGAAATTCGTTGTCGCGAGAGCTATGCGTGCGTTTAAACGTGATCGAGACCACGGAAAGAAAGAAAGGGACCAACAACACCGACTCGCGGCGAATGATTGCCGGCTGTACATTGATTTCGGGGACAAACGGCCCCGGTGTTGATGAAGACGGGGGAATTTCTTTTTTTTTATTGTGTGCGCCCGTGATCCATCGTATAGTAATAAGTGAACGCGTCGAGAGTGACTTGTGACATTGTGGGATTAACTAGAATCATGTGTACTGATTTCGATCTCGAGTGAGAACGATCGTTCGAGTGACATACTTTCGAAAGTTCCACGGTGAAGATCTGACGTCTCGGGTTTCTCGCGTTCGGAGTTATAATTGTTCACCCGTGTTTCGAGAACGCGATTCCGAAAAAGGAGGTGGCGACGATCGAAGCTACTACGTTGGCAGCGCGATCTTGGCTATTTGCAGCGATCGCGAGTTGATTGACGAGAGAACTAAACGATCAGACAGAGGGAAAGAGAGCAGTAGCGTCATAATGCGCCGTTGTTACGGCTAGCGCCGGCCTCATCATTCCGCGAAGCGCGAGCTTCAAGTACTTCGACGGCGTCGGGCTCGCCGAGATGAGCGGTGGCAGCGGCGGCGGCGGAAACAGCGGCGGCAATCAAGGTGGTAATGGCAACGCCACGACTTATCATCAGCACCAACAGCAGCAGCAGCAGCAGCAGCAGCAACAGCAACAGCAGCAGCAGCAGCAATCGCTGGAGCAGGCCGGCCTGCTGTCGGACCTCAATGGCATCGACCTGGCGATGAGCCTGTCGCCGAAGCAGCACTCATCCCACGTGCAAGCTGCCGTCGGTGCCCACACTACGCCCTTTAGCGTCTCCGATATCTTGTCGCCGATCGAGGAATCTTACCGGAAGCTCGAGCTCGCCGCCGCCGCCGCCGCCGTCGGTGTTAATGTCGGCGTCGTAACACATTCCCAGGGCTCGCCTTACGGGAACGCATGCGGTGCACGGGTGGGTGGTAACACCGGTAGCTCGAGCGCGAGCAGCGGCAGCCCGCCGCTACACGGCGGTTCGACGCCCGGCGGCAGCACCCCCGGACCGGTTTCCGTTGCCAACGGGGCCGCCCCCGGTGGCGGTGGCGGCAGTGCCGGCGGCGCCGGCGGAGGCATGAGTGCCATGGGTAATCCTTACGCGACTATGCAGCTCACGTCGCAATATCAATACTGCGCCGCGGAATTGTCGCCGTATCATCACGCCGGGCCCGGCGTGGGCGCCACCGCCACGGCCACGGACCCCATGAGGTCCCACGCGGTCTCGTCGCACCATCATCCGTGGTACGCACCGGCGCCACCGGCCACCAACGATCCGCGCTTTGCCAGTGAGTAGCTTGTCTTTTATTCAAACAGAAAAAAATAAAAATAAAAAATACCCCCAAAGTAGCGCGCAGTTGTGCCTATAAGACGAACGAAGCCTGAGACTCTTTAGCTAAATTGTAATAATTTTTCAACACAGAAAATTATAATACATGTGTGTATATGTAAAATTATATCAAATTCTTGAATGAGATCGTAATAAAAGATGCGAAAAATGTCACATTGTTTTTACGTATTGAACATAAGGGCCTTAATACGAAATGTCGAAATAATTAAGGAATAAATATTCATGTTTCATTAATTCGCGATTAACTTTCTATAAAAAAAAAACACCTACTATTATATCTCAAAAAATATATCTTTTAAAGAAACACTCATTTTCTTTGTCACGTGTCTGTTAGCAAAGTCTTTCTTACGCACAACTGCGACTTTATGATAGACGTGGAAATGTGCGATTGCATCGATCGTATAGCAGATAAGCGTAGAAATCATTTTCATCCTGAAATTTGAGAGAAGTGACTTTACGCGCTCGCTAATGGAGGGAATATTTTGTTAGGTATATCCACATACATTTACATTTGCTCGTCAGACGAGCAAAAAGCCTCCGCGCCGCGGACTTCGTCTACATATTGATTAATTCAGCGACTGTGTGGTTCGATGAATTACGTCTCGGACAGTTAGTCTGTCCGCTGAACGTTACCGAGTTATCGAATGCAAACAGTCATTCTGTCAGCCTGTTAAATGAGTTTCGAGGGGTCTGTATTTATCGGAGAGGCTCGCGCGGCGCGTAGTCTCATATAGAATATATGACGCCTTATACTTTCAAAGACGTGTTTCTTCCCCCCTCCCCCTCCTCCTCTCCTCCGACGATCGTTCAGCATGAAAACCGACATCGGACGCACGCACGATCTACACCTGTTATTTAATCACACGATAGAAAAATCGGCGAGTGAAATCTCGTAGGAACGTCGAAGAATCACGCGCGCGCGAGAGTTAACGTTATCAGATGCTCATCGAAATCCTGTGTTTCGCGTTTTGTGTATAAATGCCGGAAGCGAAACACGAAAAGCGACTCCGCGGAGAGAAACGGGAGAAAGAGGCGAGAGAACGCTGTACGAGCGTATGTTGTACTCGGGTAAAAACCTATCTCCCGACGAGCTATTCCTTCCGCCATCCAAGAGTCACGTCCGTCAGGCTTTTATCGGCCTTGTAACGACAAGACCATGGATATCTTAGCTCCATTTAGGGATCGACGAGAGAGTGTCGGTCTCGCGTTACAAAGTTGACGAAAAAGCGCCGATCGTTAATTGGTAAGGAGAACCCGTCGGCATTTCTCAGTTTACGTACAACTATCTCCAAGCGTGCTCTACGCCGCGCGGGAGGGGACTGACATTTTTATTTTTATCCTCCAAAGCGTGTACGAACTTTCTACAAATAAGCTAACAAATTGTTAGGATAGGAGAGCTTGCTGGAATTCCTCGTCGGAAAAAGATTGCAACGAGGCACGCAGCTTCGTGCGAGAAATGAGGATACAAATCGGTTTTCTCGCGGGTTAATCTTTCTCAAGTCATTTAACTCTAGACATTACAACGGAGAAAAGAAGGATCTTACATTTTGTATCTCTTAAAAAAAAAAAAACGAAAAAACGAGACTTTTACATTTAATCGCCCGTGAAGTGAGCAAATGGAGATAGAGCAGCGTGTTTTGCGTTTTGCCAGACAGCGATATTCTTTAAGTGGAACAGTTTAAAAGGATTGGCGTAAAAGCGTCCTCGGCCAAGTGTAGGAGAGAGCTTTGACACTTCGGGTAGTCCATTTGGATGTCCAGGGCGCCGCATAAGTTTCGCGTTTCAGTGTCCACAAAAGGAAACGTCGCGCATACTACCGTTCGGCCAACAATGCCGCGCGCATCTTTCATGCGACTTGTGTCAACAGGGCGTTTCGTCCTCCTCGCTCTGTGGATTTTCGTCCATCGCACGCGCCACTTTTAGCCGAGCCGATCGCCGGAGTCTCGCGCGCTCGCCGTATCGATCCAGAATTCGAGAAAGCCGCGACTAGTGGACGGCGCTGAGGATTTTAGTTAAACAAATAAGAGGGACTGGTCCTCGAGTTAAAGGCCTGAGACGCGCCGGAGATGCGCCCGTATACGAATTCGATTTCGCGGGACTTATCGTCGCCCCTTGTAAGATAAACAGAGCGCACGGGGAAAGCCCCCGCGTTCGTCCGCGGAGTTGCAAACGATCGGTCGTTTCCCAGCTGATGCGTTTCGCGATCTCGTTTGAATTTGTCTTCTAAAACTGCGATTATTATACTGGCAGTATTATTTGTGCAGATTAACTTCTTCCTTCGTAGCATCTCGTTTACGATTCTATGAAAGAGCAAGCTGTAAATTTACATACGCGTCATACATTGTTTGTTCTGCGTCAAAAACGAATTTTCAGATCAAGGAGAATTCGCTCATTAATCTCCTTGGTGTAATTAATTAATAACGCAGTTTGACATCTTCCTCGACGATATATTACATGGATCGATTGTGCTACGCGTTCGCGATTTGCATTTTAATAACATCTTATGAGAAACTTTTTCTCTCATCGTCGCGGATTATTTGTATGAATTTCTTTTCTAACTTTTTACGATTTATATCGTACATGCATATCACGTAATGCAGTATTATATATGTTGTGGACTAACGCGGCTCCGTTTCTTTATTATTAATCTTGTATAATCTGATTAAAATTGCATCAGTTACGAAGAAGGAATATATTTTAAAAAATGCATAAATACGCGCGCATTTACAGATAAAGATAAAAATCAGAAGTTGCAAATTATTTAACCAAAATTTATTTAAAAAATTACTTCAGAAAATTTCTCGTATTTAAAAAAATTTTTAATTTTATTATATTTTAAATTCGGTCAGATTTATCACTTCTTTTATATATTGTTTCATTACATTCTTCCTCTTAATTTTTTTTATATTTAATTCATTCGCTTTAATTTGACGCATATTTCTCTCTGTCTGATTTTTTAGGTTTTTTTTTAATAGTAAAAATCCCTTGTTATTATTACGATAACAAATTATCAGTTTTATCCTTGATATACTCATTATTTCCACTTTAATCTCTCTTTGCTAATGTCTATTTCTACACGGAAAGAACAATTTTGCTGAATCCAGATCTGAAAACTGAGTCGACAAGGCACACAGGGGATTTTGTACGAAAGTCAAAATAATTGCTAGAATATCAAAACATTTTACAGCAATACTTATCAGTTTTAACAGGCCAACAAATTATTTTGATGATTCAATGAAAAATTATTTTTAGATCTGTTTTTAGCAAAATTTTTAGACCTTTCAACAAAATCGTTCTTTCCGTGTACCAACGTAGATTAACTTTAATCCAGATTTAACTTACTTTGTATCTTTTTCTACTTTTAAGAATTAGAAAAAGATAAAAAGTAAATAAAACCGTGATTAAAGTTAATCTACATTGGTAGAAATGGACGTTTCAGATCTCGATTACGAGTTCTAACCTCTTGATTCTAATCAAGTTATTTTCTATTTAGAATATATTTAGTAGAAAAAACACATGTAATTTCGAGAATCAATTTCATTAGTAATTTGTCTTTGCGAAATCGTGAATAGGATTCCGCAGCGAATTTATAATAGCAAGTAACAGAACGCGTGACACAAGCTTTAAACGAGATCTTAATTAGAGTAAAATTAAAGTGAAACACGAAGTTACGTGATGAGCAAAATTATACAATCGACGAGCGTGAAATTAAATGTTACGCCTATATATCTACATGCCATCGGACGAGATTATTTTTATCCCGCTGGATTGGACGACTTTCACACTGTGGGCGGTACGCGAAGACGTCTGTGATTCGGAGCGAGAAATCTTTGGGCTTTTGTCACCTAATTGGAAGCTGAAGAGCCGTGGCGGAGGAGGCTTCCCCTCCCTCCCCTCCCCCGCCCCTCCCGCTCCCCCCTGGGTCGGTCGCTATGCCACATAATTACGTTTCGAAACGGGGATGTTCGACGTGAGGCAGAGTGCGACGCCGGTGGTCAGGTAGACGTTGGAGAAACGTCAATTTACTTAACGAGTTCCTGCACGCGCGTTGTTCGCCCATCATCGGGGATCCTGCCGTCGTGTATTGGCAGAAGTTACATCGAAACATCCCGTCCCGTCGGCCGTACCCGTACCCGGCATTGTTCTCGGTGACTGCTGACGAGCAGCTTAAAAAGGATAGCATCGCACGAGAAACATAATAATTTACATCACCGATGTGATTTACGTGAATGAAATTCCTCGCGGCCACCAATTATTAATATTAAACGCGAGACGATCGCGCGTATCAACATCATATTATAGGAGAGACACCTTTATGAAATTAAATTTAATTATCGGAAGAGATCGTGTATATACGAATTTGTCAAGTTGATTTCAGGAGAAGGCGGGCTTACGAAGTTTGCGGGTATATAGAATATATCATAGTAGGCTAGCGGCGCGAGAGCCATGTTTCGATTAAGCCGAATGCAGAACGTCTGCTAATCAGTGCAACAATCCAGGCTGGAGGAGATCGTGTACGAATTTGTAAAAAGAATCGTCATCGTTGATTTCACACGGCGGGCTTATACACAAAATTTGTGGGTAGAATACAATATCGTACAACAGGCAAGTGGTGTCTCGCATAACGCGAGAGCCAGTTTCGATTAATTCGAATACAGGGTCCGGTATAATCAGTGCAACGGATCCGGGTATAGGCGATCAGGCGGAGCCGCGGCGAACTCGTATCTCGGGTGCTCGAATCGGCTATCGAATATAGGCTATCGAATACAACCGCTCCGGATATCCGCGTAATGAGAGGGGCCCCACCGTCGCCGCCGCTCTGTTTTTTTCCGCCGCCGGCGAAAATCAACACGACAATCGGTTAAATCGCTCGGTGCGCGTTGCGCTCCGGATTCGTGAGCTTATATACGCGGGTGAACCACGATTTCTCCCGCGCGCCGCGCGTACGGGCGCGCCGAGGTAAACAAATTTGACGGTGTTTGTTCCTGCGCTCAAGTGGTATTTCTTTCTCGCCCTCGACTTCACTGACGGCTTCGAGAATACGGTTCTCACAAGGCATAATAATTCGGAACTTCATCCCGGGACCTCCCGTGCTCCCGGTGACGTAGCACCTTCGCAGCGCCTAAATCGTTCCCTTTGTCCGCGCCCAAGCGCGTACATTTTTGACAGCTCCTCGCCAACTGACGAGGGATAGACGACTCGCTCGCTCGCTCGCTCGTCTGGGTAGCCTTCGGTAGCTCAAATTTAGAGAGAATCGTTCAACCGTACACGCTTAGACGTATACTTATGAAAATATGAATATGTCATAATTATTATAATCTCTATCGCCACATTGAAGCCGTTGGTTACAAGTTTTTTAAATTAAATTCTCAATAATTTAATTATCGATATCGACAACGCGAGAATAGTGTAATATGATATACGTCATATATTACATGTATCATGAATGTATATAAAATATAAAACTATTCGCAATACACAGGAAAAAAACATTTTATATTAGAAACGATCCACTCTATAGTTATGCTTGTAAAAATTTTGTGTTGAATTTTTAACATAGTTAACATAAGATAATTATGTTATTTAAATATTTTGTGTTAAATTGATCTTCTATATTTCTTGTGTCAATTTTCCAACCGTGTGTGGAATCGAAACCAACGACTTCAGAATCAAAATGCGGCTTGATTGGAAACAAGGAATATTGTCTTATCGAAAAGCTTGCGAAATCATCAATTATCTCTCGTTATACTATCGTGAAATCGAATCGTGAATTTCGAATAACGAAGATGCATGAAAGTGAACTTGCAAGGTATCATTCCCGGTTTGTTCAATATGTTTTGCAGTCTCGCGGCTGATGGGCGCCGCGGCGGCGGGCGCCGGGACCAACATGGCCGGCTGCTCGGTGGGCCAGTCGATGGGCGACGTGACCAAGTCGTCGGGGATGGGGGTGGGCGTCGGCGTCGGGGTCGGCGTCGGCATGGGCGTCGGCGCGATGCAATTCCCCCTCGCGCAGAGACGTAAGAGACGCGTCCTCTTCACCCAGGCCCAGGTCTACGAGCTCGAAAGGCGGTTCAAGCAGCAAAAGTACCTCAGCGCGCCCGAACGGGAGCATCTGGCGTCCTTAATTCATCTAACGCCCACGCAGGTATGTAATTATTCTGGTTATTCGTATTCCGCGTCTGGTGCAGATGGATGGGTACTATTCGCGTCCCGCGGAATCGCCGGATGTCCCTTTAACGGCAGCGAATCGAGACGCGCAGTTATAAGCGAAAGGTTTGACTGTCAAGTAACCGATTCGTTTATCCGATATTCAAACTCGTTCGTTAGAATATCTCTCGGCGCAATTGTTTTATTAAGCCTTCCACGAAGATCCACAACGGTAGTTGTGTCGTTTACCGAGCGGATAAGACAGCCGGTTCCGGCATACGCCGATTTTAACGAGCGTATTCATTTTCATTGGACGCAGACAGGTCTGGCCGGCTCGAGAGAGAGATAGATAGAGAGATGCTGATGCGGTGCAGCGCGCGGTCTGGCAACAATAAATAATTGTTACGTGGCTCATTGGCCGCATCCTGCGTTCATGCACGTAGCGCGGGTTCTCCCCCTCGTTCGGTCTATCGTTCCGTCTACCGTACGTCTCTCCGTCTGCGGTTCAATTCACTTATCAGCCCTTTGAAAACAAGCGCGTCGAATTGTCCGTTTGTCATCGCGACGTTTGTAACGCGACGCTCCACGACGTTGTCGATATAACTTACGCTAAGCGCCATAAATATCTTAAAATATCTTTTACGATCCTATACATTGAATTCGACTTGATGCGCTGCGACAGCCTACCGTATAATTCTTCACGATTCTTATATTCGGCAAATTATATTTTTGGGATCTCGATAAATTAATAAAAATTCTTTTATTCATGCAGTTTTGATAAAAGATTAGATGAATTGAGAACGAAGTACTTGATATTCACTCATTTACAAGAAATAATTTGGGCTGCAGAGTGTAAACAGTAGTAGTCACGTGCTCCTCGAAAAGAACGCATCGAATATTTGACACTGTTTACGGTAAAGAATAATAAGCGAACAGAAACTAGTTAGCGGCAGCCAGGTCTAACGAGAGTTAAGCTTCATGCAACGAGCGAGATGTCTCTCAAAGTGGAAACGGAGCGCTTCCTTAAACCGGAAGAGTCGTGCGCTCGCGCGAAGCCCTTCGAGCGACGGTGACGAGTCGATTCCGTGTCAAGCACGGAAGTCGGCAAAGAGGCCTGATTGCAATCAGCCGGGATTTTCATGCGCGCCCGGGGGCGAACGGGCACAAGCGGCACATAAGTTTCGACGAGTTCCATGGTAAAGTGTAGTGATCGCGAGAGAGCCACGTGATCGGGCGAGGGAAGAGAATTGCGGACGATTTGCGGTTTCTCCCTGCGTATCCCTCGCACATCGCGTGACGCTTTGTAAAGTATCAATTATGTGGTTTCGCACGTTATATATATATAATATAATTTATTTAGATATGTATATATATTTATTAATATAAAACATAAATATATTTCCGGTATAATTCTCTAACATTCAGCAGTTCTTTTCCGTGCCTCGCCAATGTTTTTTTTTTTTTTTGACAATCACGCCTCGAATCGTCGTATTGATCGCGCGCTCGCCAAATCGCAGAATCGCGGGCGAACGGCCACCCGCCATCTCGAAAGAAAATCTCTTGCCGCGGATGCAACCTGCGAATAAAAAAAAAATGGCGACGGTATCAGAGCGCGTGACGACGCATTGCATTTGTCTCGTCGTCGTTGTCTCCCCGGAACGCGTTCTCCCTCCCCCCCTTGTTCTATTGGCACGGGGCACACGCAGATGGGTCCCTCCATTTTGCGCTCGCATTGTTACTCCAAGTACCCGGTCCCCCCGCCCCGCTTCGCGCGGTGCGGTGTTACAATGCCTAGCCACTCCTGGGCATTGTTACCAGTATTGTTATTATTATCGCTACTGTTGCCGGTTGCGGCCGAGTGGCGAATGGAAAAGCAGAGGGCCGGTGAAGCCAGCTGCTACGTCGAGTGTCGCATTAGAGGCAAATTACACTGCCCCTCCCCCCTCTACCCCCTCTGGTCCGCCTATCGTAGCTTTTATCCCACCTCTCCATTTCCCTACGCTTTTCCGAAAAGCTTCGATCTATCGGGCTGCCCGCGAAAATCTGTCGACAACTATCAAATCCTTATTGTCCGAAACACACGTTGTTTGCGTGTTTATTGTTTACATACGTTGATGAATATTAATAATGCGCGCCGTGCTTGAACTATTTACAAAAATGTGCTAAATTATCGAGATATCGTAATTTATGTAGATACGACCGCCGGAAGTGTCTTCGATTGCAAAAGCAGCATACGAACGGCGCGAGGAACGTTGAGCCGAGATGGAAGTAATGTCGGATAAGCAGGGAATGAGAGAGGACCAGCGAGAGAGAGAGAGAGAGAGAGAGAGAGAGAGAGAGAAGGCAGGAAGATCGCGGTCGCGCGCGATTCAGCTACGCGAATAATAATCATAATAATGGGTTTGCGTACCACCGTGCCTTCCCTCGCCCTCCCCTTCGGTCTCATCCCCCTGCGCTGCGGTCGGCAACCCCCATGGCGCGCGCGTCAGGAGAGGGATCGAATCCCGTGGAGCAGAGGGCGAGCTCAATGCCGTGCAAACATCGTCGCTACCGCCGTTTTCGAGATCTATCGGCACAGACGAGAGACGAGAGACGAAACGATCGCAACGGCACGACTATGTGCCACCGACGTGGTCCTTTGGCGCAATAATGGGAGGAAACGGCGCCATTAACTCGCGGATGTTCACCCTTAACATTAGCATTAATCCCCTTCAAATCCCGTTCAGAATATATTTTCGATGTGTCTTCATTTCTAATTTCCTACAAAATACGAAACCTCATCATGCATATATCGCGTACTTATTTATCTCGTTCAAAGATTCTTTAGCTTTTGAATCGATGTCCCCTTAAAGTTAGAGAAGGAATTATTTTATGAATTAAAAGTAATTATAAATCAATTTATATGTATACTTTATATACTTAAATATACATACAACTTATATCTATTTATATATAATTATATAACTTGATTTATAATTAGTTCTAACTCACAAAATATATATAATTTCATTAAGAATCTTTTTTTTTCTTTTATTACTGACAAAATATTCTCGTAAAAAAATGTAAAGAATTGTATTATTATAAAAAATTTCCGCAATATATATATATAGCAGCTTTCTGCTTTGTAACCAACAAGGAACGAAATTTTTTAGGCACCAAAAATTAGTGATCGAAAATTTAAGACATCTTGACTACGCAGATTGGCGATTTCTTGGTTGTCAAACGCATGCGGTTAATCGAACGTCCTGCAACGCGTGCTCGCGTCTCTCAAGTGCACTCCCAGCACCCTCGCATAATAACGCACACATGAATATGTCGCTGGCTTTTGCAGTCCGCGTTTCGCGCCGCGACATCTACACGGACAGAATGCGGCCGACATAATTGCACTCCTTTCTGGCACTTCTATGTCGTTCGTGCGGAAGATATACCTGCCTAGTGATGCATACGAGTTGCATGCCCCCCGACGCCGCGCCGCGTCTATACAGATTAGCGCAAAAGTTATCGAGCCCAGTTTCCAATAGCTCCATCATTATATTTTCACACATTCTTCTTCTGTCACTTTTTATATTTCTTTTTATATTTATATTTAAATTCTTTATTTTCTCTAAAAAAAAATGTACCGTACAAGCATATTGATTTTTTTTCTTCAAGTGTTACGCTACTTAAGATTTTGAGTTCCAAACTTTTTTTCGCAAGATCGCTATTATGACGTTCAAATATTAACTGATGATTATACCAGTAATTAACTGAAATATATACTGGTAATTATATTTTTACGAAGTAAGATTATATCAATTATTAAATCGAACGGAAACGGTTTCTTATGCTTCGTCCTGTAGCGCCGAGCCACAGTTCTTTATAACGTATTCGCGGCGCTCGCACCGAGGGTGCATATATTCGGACTGCAAACATCGGCATCCCTTAACAGCGCTTTATCGCATCAATCCCCTTACATGCCGATTCTGAAAAGACGTTAAAATTAAAAGCCCCCGAGCTAACGAAAAAGCACGATCTACGTGTCGATAGAGATTTTAGCGTCTCTTCGCTTCGTTCCTTTCCGCGCTCTTTCTCACCGAATAATTAATAAAGAGCGCCCCGACGAGACGTCTTTTACATGTGAAATCTTTGGGCAATTCGAAGTTGAGTATTTCTTAATGATGAAAGATTTTTTTAAAGGATTGAATTTTTTTTTTTGAAAATAGCTTAGACATCCTATATATAGCTTCATGTTTTTATTCTACGAACTACGTCATAAAACTGATCGCTTTCCGCAAATAAAAATAGGACAGAATAAGATAAAGCCGAATAAAATCACGTATGCCGTCGCGGTCTTTCTGCGGATGCACGAAATTGCTCTACGCATCGTTTCGCGGTAACCAGAAAGTCATTTCTATTTGGGGGCTCGAAGAGCCCCCTGGTTTTCAGACATCACGCTGGGTAATCGGTAAGTCATCTCCGGCCGGCGGCATTGAGTTAAAACAACAAAAGGGAGGCGGAATCGTGTTTGTCCTCGGGCTACCACTCAGCAGGGTCAACACGGGACAATTAACAGCCCTAATCATAATTTGACGTTAGTTGATCCCCGGTATTCGCAGGTTCATCGTCGTCAACCGGCACCGGGCTCTTTGCACGCAGGCATTCGCACGCGTTAATCCTCCACCTCGGAGCGAACCGCCGTCCCTCTGTTATCGACGGACATCACGCTTCTATTAAGCAGAAATTACTCTGCTGAATAATACGATGGTTATTCGGATCGATTGTCCGAAGAAAATTCTACTCATTGAACATTATTTATTTGCAATTTATATACGAGCAAACATTTATAGTCCAATAAAATATTATTTTTCATTCACGAATAAGAGATCTTGTTACTCGTCTTTTTTTTCGTCATTTATTCATTCCTGCAGATGATTTCGTCCAAACTTGCAGCGCGATATTATCAGTACCGTTTTATCGCGAACGTGCAGACCGTCCGCTTGAGGAAAAATGTATGTATGA